TAGAGGGGAACGATCACGTCCCTCGATCTGCTCGCTATGCCCCTACTTATACATCCCAAAATGCCATTGGCCTTCTTGGCAACAAGGGCACACTGTTGACTCATATCCAGCTTCTCGTCCACTGTCACCCCTAGGTCCTTTTCTGCAGAACTGCTGCCTAGCCATTCGGTCCCTTGTCTGTAGCTGTGCATTGGGTTCTTCCGTCCTAAGTGCAGGACCCTGCACTTATCCTTATTGAACCTCATCAGATTTCTTTTGGCCCAATCCTCCAATTTGTCTAGGTCCTTCTGTATCCTATCCCTCCCCTCCAGCGTATCTACCACTCCTCCCAGTTTAGTATCATCCGCAAATTTGCTGAGAGTGCAATCCACACCATCCTCCAGATCATTTATGAAGATATTGAACAAAACCGGCCCCAGGACCGACCCTTGGGGCACTCCACTTGATACCGGCTGCCAACTAGACATGGAGCCATTGATCACTACCCGTTGAGCCTGACAATCTAGCCAGCTTTCTACCCATTCATAGTGCATTCATCCAGCCCATACTTCCTTAACTTGCTGACAAGAATACTGTGGGAGACCGTGTCAAAAGCTTTGCTAAAGTCAAGAAACAATACATCCACTGCTTTCCCTTCATCCACAGAACCAGTAATCTCATCATAAAAGGCGATTAGATTAGTCAGGCATGACCTTCCCTTGGTGAATCCATGCTGGCTGTTCCTGATCACTTTCCTCTCATGCAAGTGCTTCAGGATTGATTCTTTGAGGACCTGCTCCATGATTTTTCCAGGGACTGAGGTGAGGCTGACTGGCCTGTAGTTCCCAGGATCCTCCTTCTTCCCTTTTTTAAAGACTGGAACTACATTAGCCTTTTTCCAGTCATCCGGGACTTCCCCCGTTCGCCACGAGTTTTCAAAGATAATGGCCAATGGCTCTGCAATCACAGCCGCCAATTCCTTCAGCACTCTCAGATGCAACTCGTCCGGCCCCATGGACTTGTGCACGTCCAGCTTTTCTAAATAGTCCCTAACCACCTCTATCTCCACAGAGGGCTGGCCATCTCTTCCCCATTTTGCGATGCCCAGCGCAGCAGTCTGGGAGCTGACCTTGTTAGTGAAAACAGAGGCAAAAAAAGCATTGAGTACATTAGCTTTTTCCACATCCTCTGTCACTAGGTTGCCTCCCTCATTCACCACATCGATTACTACTGATTAATGACAGAAGCAGTGCTGTCAATTCTCATGATTTTGTCATGACTCTCGTGATAATTATTGTTTTCCTTAAAGCCCCAGCTCCTGGAGTCAGGTGGATATGTGATGATCTCAGCCTTCATTCTTCAAGAAAAAATAAGTTTCTAGCCCTCATGGCTGTGGAGAAATGTGAACCCAGTGCACCCTAAAGGCTCAAAAAGCCGAAGGCAAATAAAAAGAATGCCTAATTATTATTTTTACATCATCTCATGATTTTAAAGCAAATCTCATGATTTCTGGTGAGCCTGACTCATGATTTTTGAGCATCTGGGGTGGGCAATACTGTAGAAGTGACCACCCAAAGGGCAGGATGATACGTTAGCCTTTACCTGCCGGCTGAGCTCCTGCAGCTCCTCAGAACATCCAATTCACTAGACTATACTTCAGGGACGCGCAATGGTACCAGACACAATGAGCTCCAGCAGCAGTACTTCCAGGAGTATTTATGCGAACATCAGCATATGGTAGATATGCAATACCTCAGTGGTGTCTCAGGCTAACAGATACCTCCTGGGCGCAAGCATTCCTCGAATTTTAGCCCATCCATACCACCACAGTCAACATGGTGCCAGCATTTCCTTTGTAATGGTCCCTGTTTGCAGGAATGAAAAAAGTTATGAAAAAAGAAATCTCACTTGGCTGAAATGTGGAATACAGCAAAGTCACAGCAACAGAACGGACATTGTTACAAAAATTGGTTTGGTCATGTTTTTAAAGGTACACAATGGAAGTCAGTTTACAGAGTCCATATGTGCCTGTAGAGCTCAAACCACATTTGATTTAAACACCTACATCTGACAATAATAGTCCATAATATAAAGGATAATACAATTTTTGTGCACCATGATGAAAATGTACTCAAAAACATAACCAAGTGTGCACACAGTTTTCACATGTGGGTACTTAAAGTTCGGTGAAATTGATTTAGCAAGTAGACTTGTAAATGGGCCCTGAAGCACCTGAATATCCACTTACACATCTAAACATGATTTTAGGAATCCAACTCTGGGCTCCCAGCTTTGAAAATTGATCTTTCCCACTTAGTTGAGAACTAGAAAGCAATGTGTTAATGCATTCACCTTTCTATTCTAAAGATCTGTGTTGAATTCTGACCTCGGTCACACACAGAAAGATGAATGGCCTTATCCTACTTTCTTCTGGCCAAAAACCTCACACAAAATCACTATTCATTTTAGAACAACTGGAAGCTTTCACAAGAGAGAGATCTACAACCATCAGAAGGGAGTTGCAGGCCAGGAATGAGGTGCATTGACAGAGCTGTGCAGGGGAAGCATGCATAAACCCTGACACCAACCAGTACTATTAGTCTTTCACTTTCATCAGCTCTCAAATTTGCACAAAAATAATAGAAATTAGTGGCTAATGGAAAGACAAATCAGGCCCATCCAATTAAACTCCCATGTAAAATCTCCACCAGAAAATTGTGAAATATTGGAGTAATTTTTTCACTGAATCAAGACTAACACTTATATCTTTATATTAATTGTCTCCTGCATCCTCGGGTCCTTCTATGAAGAGCACTTTATAAATGTAAATTTGATTGATGGACTGATACATTTATATTGATGAGAACTTAGCAGGAGCTAAGCAGGTTAGTGTTAGTTTACACTACAGTTTTGTCAATAATAATCAGTAAGAGGAGGGATTAATCAGGAACAGGCAAATAGCTACATCCTTATGATCTAAACATATCAATGCTGTCCACTAACCCAGACAACGTGGAAAACATACTTTCAGACCCACAGCTGTAATGTTTTTTCAAGTCCACAGTTAGAATTTTGGTGATGTGTCCTGTGCACCCATCCTTCACCTAGGATTTGCCACGCACATCTTTAACTAAAGCAGCATACATGGCAATTAAGGTATTAGTTTATAGGTGGACAATGGAACTATAAAATTTGCTCTGACCTTGGTGATTTGAATAAAAAAAAACTGGCGATGTGCAACAACAGCCCCTGATATTGCATAACAGCAGAGCTTTTCTCATACCAGGGATGAACAACAGACTTTCTTACAATAGACACAAAGTAAAATCAGAGAGCAAACCGTAAGGAATCAGGGCAGATCTACACTGCTGATATGACAGCAGTACAGCCACGGCACTGCAGATGTGCCATTGTAGCCCCATAGTGCAAACACTAGCTAGAGTGATAGAAGGGGGTTTTCTATCACTGTAGTTAATCTACCCCCTCGAGGGAGGCAGCTAGGTCGATAAAATAATTCTTCAGTCGACCTAGTTGTGTCTCTCCCGGAGCTTAGGTTATCTTAACTACATCTCTCAGGGGTGTGAACAGTTTCATTTATTTCACACCCTAACCACAATGATCAGAGCTTTTGGGATGACAAGGATCACAGTGGCTGGATCTACCCTAAACTTTGCTGGGAAGCCTTCCACAAGGCATGGCCACTAATGCTGCTCCACTGGTGATACCAACCTTAGGAGCATAGTGTCAGCAAGCGTACGGACGTTTTCACCACCTCGTTGTCTAGTCTTGCTTAGAACAACTATAAAGAACATGGCAACAATTAGATTTGTAGTTGCCAGAATCCTGCCTATTATTAAATATTTATATTGTGGTTGCTTGTAGAAATACTAGTGCTCCCAATTGTGGCTACCACTAGTAGCATTGCAACAGTTGGCGAGCTCTCAAATAAGCCTAGTCTAGCCAAAGTTATTGGAGCATTGTAAATTACAATCCAGTTTTCAGGCAGTTCAGTCTCCTCAGCACAGATGTTTATCCATCCAAGACATTTATTTTCAAAATTAATTTGGGGCCTAATTCTACACCTGACTTCAGTCAGTGGCAGAAATGCCATTAGCTTAAGTGGCAAGGTAAGACTTTGATCTCTGCAGGCCTCTCACCATGGAGATTTAATTGAGTTCTTGCCGTCTGAAACCAGCAGACTGATTCCTAAACTAAGCCCCCCTCCAAAGACAGGACATTAACTTTCTGCTTTGGTTTAGCCAGTTTCTTTTAGTTGCAAAGAAATAGTACAACCACGGTACCAGCATTGCAAAGAGAACTGTGGGTTCATTTTGTGATGCTTCCTGACTGAGTTGCTACACTCACCAGCAGCTTCTGAGCAAAAGGCAAAAATGGCTATGCCCTGTCTTCTCTAGTGCTCCCACAGTTCCTACCACCGAAAGAGATGGACCGGAGGTAGTGAAATGAAGGCAAAGTTAAAAATAATTCTAGTGCAGATACAGCCTAAGTGACCTTAGCAAGCACTGTCTGTGACTAGATCATCCTCGTACAGTTGTAGCTGTTTTGAACTGTTATATGCTGTCACAGCAGACATAATTTTCCAGCAACGCTCCTGCTAAATGAGTGTCTACGTACTACATTAGCATTCCCAGATGCCCTGCCTTAGCTTAAGAAGCCTGGGGGTAAAAAGACAAGCAGCTCTGGGATGCTCTTATGTTTCCGAGAACCACAGTGCAAATCACCATAATTGTTTGTTAGATGAACAATGATCACTCTAACCTCCTAATTAACATTGTTAAAATTTGTTAACAAAGGAAATTTAGCAATATCTTAATTAGGAAGGATTTCTAATTTGTGATGTAGAGTATGTTAGACAAACAAGGCACCATTCTCCCTTTGTTTTTCAGCTCTGCAGCAGGAGAGATTACATGATATGACACAACATATTCTGCATTTGCCATTTATCATTCTATATCCTTTACACACTTGTGCTGTATAATTAGCGCCTTGGCTAATTTTACCTGTTATTGTTTGCCCTGTAATTTGGAGAGAAAAGGCAGTGTTGATGCTACGTGAATTAGTCTGGGGCAACCAGCTGGCTCTTTGCCACAGGACTGCTGCATACATGTGACTGCGATGAAGTACGTTCACTGCAAAATAAAGAGAAACATTCAGTAGCTTAAAGTAGTTAATTATATGCTATGATATTAGCAGCTTTCTTCAATTTTTTTTTCTAAATACAATACGTGGGCATGTAACCCTTACAGGGCTCTGTTCTACTTCAAAGCCATTGTACATCACTAGAAAAAAAACTACCCTCCCATTATCTATTACTTAATTATTAAAAAGTGTCTACTCTGTTTTTATAAATTATCTATGCGTCAGAGTTGTTGGCATATGAGAGAGACAGACAGACAGACAAACAGATAGACTTGGGAAGGCTACAAAGCCAATTATTCTGGACTGGAGAAAAAAAATCAAGAGTCTAAAGGGACCTAAAATATATGGTCTACAAGACAGTCATTTAAAAAAATTGTTATTGAGATTTTCATTACGAACGGTCTTTCAAAGTGTAACAGTGAAATCAGCGCACTCGTCATTGTTGGCATTCTGCCTGGTGGAAGATTCCAAGCAATTTACACAGCCTTTGAATAGAGCATATTTATGTCATATTGCAAAAGCATGTTTACTAGACAGTTACATGAGATACTGACTACAAAGAACTGTACTGACCTAATTGTTTTGGTGGAACTGACCTCTGTGCAATGATGGTTCCACACCAGGTCACATGCCTCGGTTGTAATGGAATATGCCATACTCCAGTTTAGGCTCTGCTTATTTATGTATATGACTTTAAAGATTACCTGCTTTGGTCCAGTCAGCATAAAACTGGTCAAGGATCACATTCTAAGTCTTATATTGAGATTGCCCTACTCTGGATGATGAATGACCTGCTCCTTTCCTCTGATTACAGGACCTCACAGACCTTTTCATCATACCACCACATTGGGGCAGCTTTTAGTGCTGATCATTTTATTATTCTATATAGAATCCCAAGGAAGAAGCCAGTGTCTTTTAAATACTCGCTTCTGTTTCTTTGAATGTTATTTCTAACCTTTCCTTTTTCATTTTTGGGGGGAGGCTTCAAATCCCTTCCCTTTCGACCCTATCTGAACTAACTCAGTTTTGACTCTCTTTTCTTCTCCATTTATCTTCTTCTTCCAAGATGCCTCACTGTTTGACTTCAGTCATGAATGCTGCTGCTATGTAGATGTCACCAAGTGCTACATCTCTCTCTGTCTCATTCTGTGTACAATATCTCCTTTCCTGGACTATTGCCAGGGACTGGAGAATAAGCTAATATTCACATTTGGATGATATTCATATTCAAGGTCATGAAGTCAAACCCCTCTCCCCCAAATTGCATATAGCAACATTTTTGTTCCTTCCTGTAATTCATCAGAGAAATCACCCCGACTGGGGTGGGGTGTGTGTGTGTGTGAGTGTGAGTGAGAGAGAGACTGACTACCCCTCTCAGTTTCCCTGCATGGACACTCCCTTCCACATTCACCTTCATGAGGGGGTTGGAAAGATAGGTTTTGACTCTTCACAAAACCTCAAGAAAGTTCTTTAGAGAAACAGATGGCCTGACATTTACTCCCCTCCCGTACTGCCATGCACACCCTTATAGCAGTGTGACTGAATACTCCTGGCTGGGAAGCCTATAGTCTTTAACTCAACCTACTAATTCACATGAAAACTATACACTGCTTTGTCTTCACAATGATTTTACCAGCAGTTAGTTAAAATAGCTGGCTGTGGTTTTAAGAATATAGCCATTATTTGTGCTTTTTGATAAGTCATCTTTTTCATTCACTGACTCCTTTGTACTTTTTTAGCTATATCTATAGCTATCTATCTATCTCTTCATAGTGCAGAACACTTCAAAGTCTTGATAAACTGACCAAAAGAAAAAAGAAAAAAAAAAAAAACGGTGTGTTAGCAATCCTGCTGGAAAGCGCTAGTGGAGACAAAACACCTGTCATTTTATCATGAGGTGAAGGTCAACACTATGCTCCTGACCATGGTTGACCGTCTCTGTTTACCTCACAGTGTATCTCTACTAGGATTCTACAGTGGTTTAGTTAGTGCTAGTGTTAGTTAAGCTGTGGTCAACCCTCACATCTTTTTTTGCAGTGAAGACATAGCCAAAGACATGAAAGGTGACTTACGAAGAGTTTTTCAAAAAGACCATGCAAATAAATTTAGAAATAAGTGCTGAATGATTCATGTAACCTAGGTCTGAGCAGCAAACTAATAACTTAAAACTTTTCATTGTGTTTCGTTTTTCAGGCCCTGCGAAGTCCAAATTTTCTTGGGGGACAGTCAGAGACCGTGGAACAAACTCCTGCAGGATCTAAGAAAACTGCAACCACCACCACCTGTGTTTCAAGTGCAAAGCACATGCATTTGACTCTGTCTTTGCTAAGAGACATAACACAGTATACATCTAATATATTTATTTTACAAAAATCTCACAGATTCCCCAGGTAGCAGCAGAAGGGAAAAAGAAAGAACTATGTGTGATGGATGTTAGTCACACTGTTTAAGAGAGTTCCGGAAGCTGCTCAGATCCCACAGAGGCGAGGGCTGAAGAAGAACCTAAATAGAAAAATCTCACCTCTCAATGTGTTTTTGTATTTTTTTTAATATAAAATAATAATACTTTAAACACTTTACAAAATACCATCTTTGGAGGAAAATACCAGAATCCTTCAGACCCGTTCCATCAACCAGCAGGGTTATGAAGTGGGTGAAACTGTCCCGGTATCATGGCTAATGGGGAGCTACATGAGTGTTCTAGAAATTGGGCTAAAGAAATTGGGTTCTCACATTGGGTTAAAGATTTCACAGAACCTGAAGAAGAAAGTAAAAGATTTAAACTTTTCATTTGAAGCCAGATCCAAAGCCCAATGAAGTCAGTGGAAAGACTCACATTGACTTCAGTGAGTTTTCAGTGAGGCCCTTGCTAAATGCCACTTACACTTAGGCCTGGTCTACCCTGGGGGGGGGGGGGGGGGCAAATCGATCTAAGATACGCAACTTCAGATGCGAGAATAGCGTAGCTGAAGTCGACGTATCTTAGATCGACTTAGAATCACTTACTTCGCATCCTCGCAGCGCGGGATCGACGGCCGCCGCTCCCCCGTCGGCTCCACTTCTGCCTCTCACCCTGGTGGAGTTCCAGAGTCGACAGCAGAGCGATCAGGGATCGATTTATCATATCTACACTAGACGTGATAAATCAATCCCTGATAGATCGATCACTACCCGCCAATCCCGCGGGTAGTGTAGACCTGGCCTTAGATTGTATGCAGTGTAGCTGTAGCTATGTCAGTCCCAGGACCTATCAGTCCTCATCCTCAAAGGAAACCTGCACACTTGCAAAAGACAAACCTGGAAGCTTACATTCATAACTCTGCTAGACACTAAAAATCATGGACTGAACAGACACTGGATTTATGGTTTATTACAACAATCTGTAATCCACTAACCCCCTCTTTTTGTCCTATGACTGCAGAGGTGTAAAGGGGCCACTCTACCTTGAATGTTCCCTTACAGTATGTGCTAACTGTTTATGCTAACCAATTTGTTCCACCTTGCATTTTGCTGTGAGGCTCTGAGTTCCTGTCCCAGACCTGAAAGAGCTGTGTGGCTTGAAGGTTGGTCTCTCTCACCCACAGAAGTTGGTCCAATAAAAGATATTACCTCACCACCTTGTCACTCATACTTGAGGCACAGGGCACTTATTTCTAATGCTATGCTGGATTTCATTAAATTTCCTTTAACACAGACCTCAACTCCATAGCAGTTTCCAAGCCTAGAAATCTTCAGTTATCCAGGACCCTGGATGTTCTTTTTCCTTCCTCTTCTTCCATGTCTATAAGGCTACCTTTGTGACATGGAAGTTACTAGAAATTCGACATGTCACTAGCCTTCCTTTGATCCATAGTCATGTTGATGTAGACTTGGGAGTTAGACAAGTATGAGTTTGAGCCCTTTCAGCTCTTTCATTATAGCTTCCTTTTCTGCTTCAAGTAGACTCCTCCCTTCAAGGTGTTGTTGGAAACCCATGTTAGGTTAGGAATTACCTTACTTGTCCCTATTGATGTGCTCCACTGTTCACATTTATTACAATCTTATCAAAGGCATCCCCTTGGTGCAGAGCTGTGTTGAGTTGTTGAGCTTCTCAGTTGGAAGCTTTCCCAAAATCTTTCCTCTTATTTTGGATTGTTCTGAAAATGGCAGCCCTAAATACCAGTATTTTAGCCTGGTCTCTGATATAACCACTACCTTTGTATTTATAAATTTGGTCTTTATTCTCTTGTAACCAAATAAAGATTTTTTTATCTTCGCTATCCAATTCAACTTTGTATCTCATTCACAATAACGCACCTGATTTTCAAAGTTCTCCTTTGATTCACTTTATCTTGCCTATTGTATCAGTTATACACCTCTGATTATGGCCACCTCCTCATGGCTCTTCTCAAATGGGGCAGTCACTCTTTCAGTTCATCTGTAGTTTCTGGGATCCCTCCTTCTAAGTTACTGTCTCTCTGCTTTTATTTAAATCAGACCTTAAAACTTTCCTTTTCTCACTATCATTTTGATTTTTCTCTGAAGTGTTTGGTGCACAGGTTCTCAAGCCTTCTTCACATCTAACTAGCCTTTGTTTCTTGCTAGGACTCCAGTCTCACCATCTTTTGAAGTCACATACCATTCTCTTTTCGAGTCACTGCAAGAAACTATGGCTGGATTGGGGAGAGGTGCGTAACTTGGAGTACTGGTTTCAGGGTGGGTTCTGCTAGATGGGGCTGGTGCTAAGGTAGGGGACGCTGGGGTGAGTGAAGGCTGCAATGTTGGTGGAAGGCAAGGCTTGCTGAGAGAAGACTGATGCTGTGGGAGGGTTTGGTACTATTGGCTTGGGTTGCTGAAGGTGCTGGCTAATTTGGTGAGGGATAGAAGTGGGTGAGATGTTAAGTTTGAGAACTCCTGCTCTAGATGAAAAACACCCTACACTATAAGAATTAATGGGTTTGCATGATGTAAATTGCATTTCATTTAGATCTGTCAAGCTCTGCAAGCCAGT